ACGTGGCTGTTCCAACTAGCGGGACTGGCCTGAGGGATTTTAAAGGGGGTTTTAATTACTTTTAAATTGGACATATTTAAATATTTCGTTTTAATCAAATTTTAATTAAGTATGTATATATGTTAGTATTTTATTCAATTGTCAGCCGCCCTGAGTCCGTAAGGAGAAGGGCGGGATATAAATGCAATTAATAAAATAATAAATAAATAAAATAAATAAATTTAGCTTTCTAATTAACCCTGGCACAAATACTATATATGCAGTATCTAAATGCTAGTCTGCAGGGCAAAATTGAGTCATTTAATTTCTTGGACCAATATGAAGTGAATTAAGAGGTCACAAAATGAGTACCAAATATTCAACTCATTTAAATAAATTATTGAATTTGGCCCCACAGCACATGGGGCGCTTGTAGCGCATGGCTGCGCAAGAGTGGATCTTCGCTTCCCACAGCTAGTTTCGTCCTGCCAGGAGGACCCTAGATGGGTCCGAAGTTGCCCTGAAGAGGTGACTGTGAAGGAGGGGCACCCTGTTGATCACAAAGTGAAGGCAATCGCTTCGTTTGATCCAGGGGAAGCCCTCCAAACCTGACAGGAGAAAGGCTAGCATGAGATCAGCGTGTAGCGCAAGCTACTTGCAGCCGAAGTCCCAGAGCATGAACCTGAACATCAGTGAACAGCATGCTTGGAATTGGTGAGGTACTGATCTTCTTTCTTCTATCTACTAATTGAATCCTTGAGAAAAATCCCCAAAGCAAGAAAACCTCCGGAAGTGAAGGGAGGGGACTATATCCCCATTCCCTTACAGATGGAAGCAGCAAATTAATATTAAGGAGGAAAGAGATATACTAAAATTTGATTTAAAATACTACAGTCTGGACAAATCTAGGAACTAAAAAACTGTCAAGATTATACCCTAAAGAGGTTTTGATGGAATTATAAAAATATATAACAAAAACAACTTTTTAATTGAAAAAAAACCTGAAAAAAGAAATAACTGCTGACATCTAGTGGAGAATCAGAGAATAGAACACTAACAATAAGGACTCAGAAATTGGCAGAATGCCTAGAAACAAAGAAAAAGCTGTCCCTTTGAATTGCAAATAACCTTGAAGACAGCTGGGAAGAAAGGAAGAGCCAGCTATAAGATTAAAAAGTGTCTGAAAGAAAAAAAAACACCTGGACTGTTGCTTAAATTTAAGAATTGTTTATGGAAAAGAAAAACCTTGGCTTTTGGCTAATCTTTTAGAGGAGAATCTACAGGAAGGATTTAAAGTGGCTTAACACACTGAACTGTCATTTTGACTGACTGATAAATTGACTTTTGAATTACAACATTGATGAAAGATTATTTGAAGGGGGGAGACAAAATGGATATCACATACATATCAAAAAATGACAGGACGCCACATTTAATATTTTCTCCTGAAGAACTTAGCCTGGAAAATCAAGGTCTTCCAGAAGCAATAAATAAATTACTGAATTTGTGGCATGTGAAAGCATCAACCAAGTTATAAAGTTATTAAGACAAGTGATTGGCAATATTTGCTTCATTTACTTCATTAACTGAAAGCCAAACATCATATTGTACATAATCACAGGATCACACCCAAAGCTGCCTTAAATTGACTCCAGGAAGAAACCACTTACACTGATGGCATGCTTTTGATCACCTAGTAGGCAATTCAGAGTATTGTGTCTTAATAGGCAAAAAATTGTAATATGTTTCCAAATCTTTCACGGATACTAGGTCACTCTTGGCAGAAAATAATTCATAAAAATAGAATTTCCTCATCTTATGCCCACCCTTTCAACCTTAAAACATCAGTGTCAATAGCCAGAAGGAATTGCTACTCCTAGAAAAAGCTATGTCTATGATGCCTTCTATAATATGTGTACAGTATGTCAGAGCCTTTCAAGGCATTTATCTCTACTTTTTTTTTTTAAAAAAAAGGGCTTTCTAAATGACTTCATATCTATTTAGTTACACATATGTCCTCTTTTTCAATTGGAAAGGCTCATAGAAGTTTTCAAATAAAATCAATACTAATATCATAAAGTATTTTTTTTAAAAAAGACAGATTATGCCTGCAGATTTACAATAAAAAAGGATTTGACACGCCCACTTGCTCTAATAGTTTTAAGTTAGAAAACCTATATAAATCACATTAAATACTTGGTTTGATCATCTGTTCCTTAAGTAATGATATTTCTTAATTTGAGTATTTTTCATGTGGACTCACTTTAAAATCTTTTACACGCACAAATAATAACACAAAGGAAGTTTATACATGTTTCACTGTTTTTTAAGAAAAATATTGGTTTATTTCACGTTTCCCCATAATAGATATATGAATGTTCTACCTCTGGTGATGAAGATAAAAAAGGTTTGATGTAGATGGTCGAGTCATGCACTTTCAGGTCATGATCTCCAAGTCCTCTTGTAACCCCAATAGTTGCCATGACACGAGCCTAGGAAGAAATAAAAACCATAAAAGTGTGGGAATACCAGAGAAGACTAGAGGAAAGATTCCTGAGGAGGAAAAAAACCCTTAACAATACATAATAAAATGATACAATTAGATATTATTGAATGGCTACCAATTTAAATGATTCCAAAGGAGCTATTTGTCCTAAGTGCTGTATGATATCAATTGACACTAGTAGCATGCCTTAAATATCTACAGCTAAAGAAAGTTGTTGTCTTCCTATCTGACTTCTGACTGTCATAAGACTAGGTGAATTTTCCCAGTGAGGGAAAAAAGTATTTGATCCCCTGCTGATTTTGACAAAGAAATAGAATAAAATATAGAACAGAATAATAGCTTTATTGCCACTTTGAATGTACACTAATGGACATACATTAAAATGAAATTTCATTGCATACAGCTCTCAAAGGGTCTATAATTTTAATGATAGGTTTATTTTAACAGTGAGAGACAGAATAACAAATCCAGAAAAATACATTTCAAAAAAGTTGTAAATTGATTTGCATTTTAATAACTGAAATAAGTATTTGACCCCTTTGCAAAACATGACTTAGTACTTGTGGCAAAACCCTTGTTGGCAATCACAGAGGTCAGATGTTCCTTGTAGTTGGCCACCAAGTTTGCACACATCTCAGGAGGGATTTTGTCCCACTCCTTTTTGCAGATCCTCCCCAAGTGATGAAGGTTTCAAGGCTGATATTAGGCAGCTCGAACCTTCAGCTCCCCCTACCAATTTTCTATGGGATGAAGGTCTGGAGACTGGCTAGGTCCCTCCAGGACTTTAATGTGCTTCTTCTTGAGCCACTCCTTTGTTGCCTTGGCTGTGTGTTTTGTGTCATTGCCATGCTGGAATACCTATCCACGACCCATTTTCAATGCCCTGGCTGAGGTTCTCACCCACGATTTGACAGTACATGGCCCCGTCCATTGTCCCTTTGATGCAGTGAAGTTATCTTGTCCCCTTAGCAGAAAAACACCTCAAAGCATAATGTTTCCACCTCCATGTCTGATGGTGGGGATGGTTTCCTTGGAGTCATAGGCAGCATTCCTCCTCCTCCTCCAAACATGGTGAGATGAGTTGATGCCAAAGAGCTCAATTTTGGTCTCATCTGACCACAACACTTTCACCCATGTCACCTCTGAATCATTCAGATGTTCTTTGGCAAACTTCAGATGGGCCTGTACATGTGCTTTCTTGAGCAGGGGGACCTTGCGGGCGTTGCAGGATTTCAGTCCTTCACAGCATAGTGTGTTATCAACTGTTTTCTTGGTGAATATGATTCCAGCTGCCTTGAGATCATTGACAAGATCCTGCTGTGTAGTTCTGGGCTGATTCCTCACCGTTCTCATGATCATTGAAACTCCACGAGGTGAGATCTTGCATGTGTCAACTCTACAATAAGCATGGCTGCAGCCATTTTTTCTTCTTTCTAGGTTGCCACATAGAATGGGGGTGGGGGGTTGCCCAGGTGTTTCATTAGTCAAAATAATCTTCTGTCCCGTGGGAACCAAGGTCATCTGCTGCTCCCGAGGCTAGGGACTGGGCGTTGTATAAAAAGCCCACCAAATAAGTATATTGGGGAACGTAGTTGCTTGCATAGTTTTGTGGGTGGGACCTTTAACTTTGTAATTGGGCAATTGTTACCTGTGTATTCAGCCTTCGTTTCACTTTTGACCGTGCCAATACTTTGTAACTAATAAACATATTCTTTGACGAACTTTCAAGCCTCAGAGTTCTGCTTTATTCATCTCTGTCTGTCGGAACTATGATAGCATGGAGCCCCAGACCGAGGGAGATTGACAGTTATTTTGTGTTTCTTCCATTTGCGAATAATCGCACCAACTGTTGTCATCTTGTCACCAAGCTGCTTGGCAATAGTCTTGTAGCCCATTCCAGCCTTGTGTAGATCTACAATCTTATCCCTGACATCCTTGGACAGCTCTTTGGTCTTGGCCATGGTGGAGAGTTTGGAATCTGATTGACTGATTGCTTCTGTGGACAGGTGTCTTTTATATAGGTAACAAGCTGAGATTAGGAGCACTCCCTTTAAGAGAGTGGTTGTAATCTCAGCTCGTTACCTGTATAAAAGACACCTGGGAGCCAGAAATCTTGCTGATTGATAGGGGATCAAATACTTATTTCATTCATTAAAATGCAAATCAATTTACAGTTTTTTTGAAATCCGTTTTTCTGGATATTTTTGTTGTTATTCTGTCTCTCACTGTTAAAATAAACTTACCATTAAAATTATAGACTGATCATTTGTCAGTGGGCAAACGTACAAAATCAGCAGGCGATCAAATACGTTTTCCCTTCACTGTAGGAATCCTTTTACACTCTTATATATTTAATCAGACCAAGGGCTAATCTTATTCAAAGTTTAGTTCTTAGATGTCAACTGACAGAATCAGAAAAGATCATAAGCATATGTTTGGCCATGTCCTTATGCACACCTTGCAGTAGGGTGTTTGTCACCACTAGGAGGACTCAAAATCAGCTGTCAGAAATTCATAGTATAAACCAGTGGTTCTCAAACATTTTGGCTTCAGGAGCCCTTTATCTTTTTAAAAAATGATTGAGGACCCCAAAGTGCTTTGATTTATGCAGGTTATATGTATCAATATTTACTGTATTAGATATTAAAGCTAAGTTTTAAAATATTTGACCTTGTGGATCCCAGGGATCCTCCGACCAAACTTTTGAGAACCATTGATATAAACCAATATTCTTTTTTTGCAATCTAAAGAGAAAACAGAATGTGGATCTTCTTTCTCAAAGAGTGTCACTTTTTAGCATCACTGTTGTGATACTATAATCAGAACAACACAGAAATTCGTATGATCAGTTGAAATAAGCAATCAAGCCATTGGAGAAGGGCTTATAAATGTGATGAGCAAATAAAAACAATATTGAGATCACAGAGTCCTCACATTAATCACAGATCCACACCTTCAGAATGCAGGGATCAGTGCTAATAATTTATTATCTAATTCTGCATTTGGCAGAATTATTTCTTTCTTTGATCCCCATCCCTGAAAAAAAATTTTATTCCAAGAATGAACTGTGAATGCAGCTAAAATTTCTAGTAACTAGAAATTCAGCAGGCATCCTTATTGCCCTAAACTTATTTGATCTCCACAACTCTCCAAAACTGCTCAAATCCAATAAAAAAAGTTTTATTTTTCCCCAGTTTAAAAGATCACATGTAACTATACAATCAAACTGCAGATAAGGTAAGGCAAGATAAGGCAAGGCAAGGCAAGGCAGGATAAGATACCCTTTATTGTCATTTTATTTTTACTGTGGGCACAATGGCAACATCAAAAATGAAATTTAGTTGTCCGTTCTCAAAGTGAAACACATACATGACACACACCTAAACATACTATATACAACATATGTATAGACCCACACCCTTACATATACATAACAAATAAATATTAAATACTGTCCATCTGCCTATCCAAACTTTTTTTTTTCAAAATCTATCCCGACTGCCTTCAAATGCATACTTACATAAAGCAAACTAAGATCAGCAGTAAAAGTAATGAAACTGCTTTTCTCTGAAATGGGCTTCTTGTTTGTCATGGAACCTAGGAACTGAATTATTAGAAACACAATATTCTTTTAAATTGTTAGAAAAAGAAAATAAAGTGAAGAAAGTAGAAAACCCCAAACAGCTTAGGGCTAAATTGAGTAGTAAATATGATGCAGCACTCAAATTCCTTTGACACAAGGCTTATTCCCACCTTCTTGCCTTCTCCATATATAAGGGGAAACTTCAGGTCATCCTCTTCAATGGTTTTGTATGCCCTGAGGAAGGAATAAAAAAACTTTGTAAAGCTTGGACTTAATTATCAATCCAGTCCTTTAACATCATTTTCTCCCTGTTCTCTTTCTCTGCATATTTATTTGCTTCATCTTTGCAACATATTCCCATGTTTTTCTTTCCTCTTTTGAGCTCCCCCACCAACTTATAATACTTGCACAAGAGTAAATATAAGGAGTGTAATATCAATTTTATGAATAAAAATATACTCCTTGGTATAATAAAAGATGGGAAACTAAGCTAGATCCCTTCCTGATTATCCCAGCTGCTGGCCCAGCAGCTCCCAATCAGTATATACCATAGAAGGATGAAGATCAAAGAGGGTGATGAAACAAGTTAGCAAGATCAGGGAGATTGAAGTAACAGCAGAAACAGGAGGAGAATGAAGGCAAGGTAAAAGCGAGAGTTCAAGAAGCAAAGAAATGTATTAAACTGGCTAAATGGTCACAAATGTGTAATCAGGCTTTGTAAAGTATTCCTGAATATGATTAAGAAAAAGAACAAGAAATAATCCTGTGGTTCTCATTTGGGCAGCTAGTACCAATTTTTTTACCAACTTCCTGATGCAAGTAGAATCTGTCTTTCACCCCTCCAGTTTGGCTTTCTAAATAGGTGAAATGATAGGTTTATCACTGACAACAAATTCCTTGCAACCATTTTAGGATGTCACCAGTTACATTTTCCTCCAAATTACAATTGTTTTAACTGGGAGTGTCTGTTCCCCTCAATCCATAAAAAAAGCAAAGCAAAAGAAGCTGTGAATAAGTATCGTCTGATAGATCACACCGGCAATAGTACTGTAACCCAGAGGAAGACAGATCTTCCTATATTTGATCTATGTAACTATAATCTTTACAATTGTTTTAACTGGGAGTGTCTGTTACCCTCAATCCATAAAAAAAGCAAAGCAAAAGAAGCTGTGAATAAGTATCGTCTGATAGATCACACCGGCAATAGTACTGTAACCCAAAGGAAGACAGATCTTCCTATATTTGATGTATGTAACTATAATCTTTAGATTTTAAACCACAATAGTACAGTCTGTCTATCCTCTTTACAAGCTTTTCTATAAAACACAGTTCTGCTATCACCTCATTAGCAAGTCACATAAACACAAGAAGGTTCTTTTAAAAGATGACAGCAGGGCCTCTTAGGAGAGATTGATTTATTCTCATTATATTCTCATTATAACAAAAATATATTAAGAATAAGATCAGAGAGCAAAGATGGACTCCACTGCATAATTTTTCTACCTTTGCAATGGGATTTTCCTCACTCATTTCTCCAACAGTTTCTAATCTTGTCCTCTAGACTCTATTCTGAAATAGGACAAGTAAGAGGGAATACTACTACTTCTTTGTTCTCTAAAGAGATCATCAAAATTCCTCAGTAGTTTCTGTCTCATAAATGTAGATACTGAAGTGCTGATTCCCAGTGTAATCATATAAATGTAATATTTTCTTTCCCTCCACTTTGTAGAGCAGAGAGATTACAGAGAAAGGGATTGCAAGAAAGTAATTTGTTTCTTCTTCTATATATCAAAAGTAATATAATTGCAAAGGCAGCTTGGAACCTGCAGCTGGGACCTGCAATGTGCTATGCAAACCACTAACTCTCTTGAAATTTCTTTCTCTTCAATATCTCCATTCTGTGGGAGGGTAGAAAGGATCAGGTAAAGGAGAGATTGCCAAGAGAAATCATTTGTTCCCTAGCTTCCAACAAAGATATTGGAGAGAAAAGAATTTCAAGACACTACTGTATGCTGTTTGTCTAGCATACCTGTGGTTGCCAACTCCAGGTTGCCTAAGCAATCTCATAGCTTTTGATGTGTATAAGACAGTAAGCAGACGCTTGAGCATTCTAAAGGAAATGGCAAGAAACGGGGCAGGAAGCAGAGACACAGTTATATGATTTCCCCCGTAATGACTGCTTCACTTAGCAGTGGACTTGCCAATGTTAATTATGGCTAAACGCATAATTGTATTGCCAAGACTGATTCGCACTTTCACCTATACTTCTCCTTCACTCACAGCTTGACAATAGGGAGGGGGTGGTTGGAATGCAGGGCAGGGAGAATGATTTATTACATTTTATTATTACATCAAAAACAAATAAGCAGAGATTGACAGTACATTTCAAAATCAAAATTGAAATATTGTCAAATAAAATAAAATGATTCCATGCCCTAAAACAACTTGGAAGTAAAAGCAAAATCTTTCACGATGAAGCAATGCAAGGACCCAAACAGGAAGTGTCACATAGTTCCAATCTAGGCAAAAGCCAGATAGTCACTGTAGTCACAACTGAGCTCAAAATTTCTGTTGCTAAGCAAGTTAATTGTTAAGTGAGCTTTACCCATTTGATTATCTTTCTTGCCATAGTTGTTAAATAAATCAGTGCAGTTGTTACGTTAGTAACATGGTTGTTAACTGAATCTGTCTTCCCATTGACTCTGCTTGTCAGAAGGTCGCAAAAGGTAATCATGTGACCCCGGAATACGGCAAGCGTCATAAATAGGAATTAGTTGCCAAGTGTTTGAATTTTGATCACGTGACCATGTGGATGCTGCAAGGGTTGTAACTGAAAAACTGTCATAGGTCATTTTTTTCTGTGCCATTGTAACTTCAAATGCTCACTAAATTGTTGTAATTTGAGGACTAGTTGTACATGGATAAAATTGTATGCATAACTAAAGAGAACAGTTTAGTTACACCATTAAGAGACAATCACTGCTCTTTTGCAGACTTCTAAGAGTGTTTGCTGACTAGGAAATTCTGAGAGTTGAAATCTATGCATCTTAGTTGCTGAGGTTGAGAAACACTAGTCTAATACACACCCATGCAGCTCAACAAATGAAAATAGAACACAGACAACCGCTCAGTAATCTTTATAGCTGACACCCTTTCCAATCTAGTAGGAAAGATCATTGCCCTTAATAAGACAAAGCAGCAGCTAATAAAGTTCCTTGTATAGACTGAAGATAAATCCAGGCTGGGAAAAGTGATGCTGCCAGTTTAAATTTTATTTTAGTATTTGTGGCAAAGCTAATGGAGACTGTCAGTGGAGTCTCTTTTATTAGATGATTCTTGGGATGGTGAAGCCTAACAGGACTTTAATGCTTGACTCTATAAAGCTATTTATATCACAGGACTGGAAAGGACAGAATTGGCCTTGCCTTCATCTACTATTCCCCATATCCCCTTGTCAGCCAGACAACACATTCTGTGGAACTATGAAAGTTGAAGGCCTACTGTAACTATATTTGCAAAGCAAAGTTTGTAAATTACACAAATGAAAAGCTCCATGAGGTATCATGTTTAGCAGGCATGTTAGGAAAACCAACTATATGTTTCCATAGAAAAGTAAGCATCACCCCTATTAAAAAAATAAAAATAAAAAATAAAGATGTACTGTAGATCAGGGGTCTCCAACCTGTTGGCCAGTGGGCTGCGGGAATGTCTGGCAAGTGCATGCAACCCCCCCCTCACACTAGTGGCTCTATTTGCGCATGCGTGGGAGTGCTAGTGCTGCCGCCACCATCATGCGGTCGCTAGCAGCCCATTTGCTAGCGGCGTTTGTGGGTGCTAGAGTCCCACTTGCACGGGGACACGGATTTGTGCATGTCACCAGCGCTGCCATGGGTGCGCGCGGTCCACTTGCGCATGCACACGGATTTGTGCATGAGCGTGCGCACACACACATTTCTCTGTTCCTCCCTTTCCTTTTGGGCTGCCAACCCGGAAAGGTTGGGGAACTCTGCTGTAGATGTATATGTAGACAAAGTGCTTATTTGTCACTTAGTGGCTTTTTAAAGTTACAGTGGACCCCTCAAAATCTACTTATGATCCAAAGTTACAGCCATTGCAGCACTCCCTGTGGTTCTTCACCCTTATGCCTGGCCCCAGAGATGCTGCAGTGCCCCCCCCCCACCTATCAACCTCCCCCCCAATCATCCTTCACTGGAGAAAAAATTACAAAATAAACTTTTGTTTTCACCCTCTCCCACATTTTGACACAACCAGCTTTCCACATCTGGGTTCCAATAGTTTTGTAATTGAAAGGTATGTTATCATACCCTTATATTTCTAAATGTTGCATATGTATAATCACTTGCATGTGTATAATCACTTTTAAAGCATATTTTTCATTTTTCCAAAAAGGGGTATGCACCTACCAGCCAATCATGCTGAAATCTCGATAAAGCATTCTTTTCCCAACTTCCTTTCGCTGAACTCTCCTTGGAAACTCCAAATGTGTAAACTCATTTCCAAGCAAATGGGGTTGCATATATGCCTGTAAATTAAGAGAGGACATTGACTGGGCAATAATCCCAGAAATCCATAATTAGAACTCACACTTCTCCCTTGTCTCATCAAACTATCCCAAAATCCCTGTTACACCTTTTCATTGTTGGACTTGCACAATTGCTGCACTTTCTTCTAGAATTTATGATCGGGAGAACTGCTTATACATTTGATCCTACACTGAGCTAGGGCAGAGGGTCAGAATTCAGTAATATTAATTTGTATTTTCTCATCTTACATAAGAGCTGTTGGCAGCCTGCCAGACTAGTAGATTGCCAATACCCTCAGCTTTTCTTGGAAGATGCAACTATTGGGAAAAGTGATATCTAGACTGAGTCTCACTTCACTGCCCAAACAGAAGAGTCTCATTGCCAAAACAATCTGTATCAGCCAACCCCAAATATACCAACTTTTTAAAATAAAAATGAATGAACAATTTAAAAAGTATAGAAATAATTTGCTTAGTTAGTGGAAAATACATAGATTCATAAACTTAACAGACAAGAGATTCCTGCCTAAAACAAATTTGTAAAGAAATTAATGAGAGAGCTGCTCATAAGCTGCTGTATCAAAACTTTCATCTTCCTGTTTTCTAAATGCTGCTGTTTTTCCTCTCACAAATCTGATAAAGCAGTTACATTTTTCTGGCCTTCAAAATGTTTTCTTTTACAAAAGAGCAAAATAAAAGCATATATATATGCTACTGATGCTGAAATCTGACTGATGGCTGGTTTCAGTGGATCTTCATTATAAATTTGATAGCATGTAGATAATACATATGTTTTAGGAAATGGCAGAAGTGTTTTTAAGTCCAACCAGAAAAAAGGAAGATACCCTTACAGGTAATGTTCTGACTCTGTTTCCTTCAGGTAAGATGATACTCTAAAAATACCACAGAACTTCCTTGATTTTAAAGGACGCAAAATATTTAAATAACAGAGGCATGAATATTCATTATATTTGCTTTGTATTTGTTGTTGTAAACCTGCATGAGTAGTTCTGTGCCATTTCCTTGAGGAGTTAGCTATTCCTTCAGGAAATTTATATAAAAGCCACACTTGGCAGATTTCTCAACCTGACAAAGAGATGGCTCTTCTGGCTTTAAGAAATGGATACAGGAAGGACGGAGATCACCATCAATATTCTTATAACTGCAAAGGCACAGAGGGAATAATATACCAGACTCTTTGTCCACTTTAAATTTGACAAATAAAAATATAATAGTATTTAGTGTAATGCAGGGGTGGTACGTGAACATTTTATTATACTGGTCTCTTAGTGTTTAGTGTCACAGATTATCTATTGCTTTGCAGTATGTTCTGCCATAGCTTTTGATTGCAATGAGTTCAAGTGATGATGATTGCTTTATAAGTTTTGCCATGTTGGAGAAGAGTCCTGAGAATATCATGAACAGCCAAGAAAATAAACAAATGTATTATCAAACAAATCAACCCAGAGTTTACACTCAAAGCACAAATGATTAGGCTAAAATTATCCTACTTCAGATACATTATGCAAAGAACTAGATCTAATACTGGGAAAGGTGGAAGGAATGGGAAGAAGAGCAGCAAGATGGATGGACAGTGGCAGTTAAAGTGGCGTGAGGGGTACTGTTAAAAGACCTGAAAGACCAGGTTAGAACAGATAGTCATGGAGAAAGTCTATCTGTATGATCACTGTATGATCACTAAGAGAAGACACCAATTTGATGGCACATAATCAATTAGTGTTGTGCCACAGCTCTTCATTACCCTGAACATGTGGATTATTATATTGTTCGGGAACTGGATATGTTTCTAAAGTCATGGAACTTCTGCAGTTAGTATGCAGTCTTCACGTATTTACCGTGTTTCCCTGAAAATAAGACCAGGTCTTATATTTTGTTTTGAACCTAAAGACCCATTAGGACTTATTTCTGGGGGATGTCTGACTTTGCAACCATCCCACTGTCTGGTTGCTCATGGTTGCAACGGAGTAGGAGAACGTCGCACGGGTGCTGCCGCCACGAGGTGAGGCAAGGCAGGTGGGGGGGTGGAGCTGCTTCATGAGCCCCGCATTCACTTACCTCAGGGCCCCCGCAGTCAGGCCACTCCCCACTCGGTGACCTTCTCCTGCCCGTTCAATGACCTGGTTGCCCGTCCGCCTCTTCCCTTTCACTCCTCTCCTGAGTCGGACTGCCATGCTACGGAGGATGGAAAATGAAGGCTTGGCAGGTGGAGGAGGAGGAGGCTGCCACCGGGCAGGTGATCTGTGGGGTGGGGGCGGCAGAGATCAAAGAAAGCTCCTCAAGCGGCAAACACAGTTGTTGCACAGTGGTGGTGGAGGCCTTTCACCATCACTCTCCCTGGCTCCGAAACAGCAGAAGGGGACCAGGTAAGGCGATCGAGCCTCCCCCGCCCATCCTCCGTTGCATGGCAGTCTGGCTTGGGAGGGGAGTGAAAGGGAAGAGGTGGGCAGGTAGCTGGGTCATTCAATAGGCGGGGGGTATTCGTCTAGCAGGGAGTGGCCTGGCTGTGGGGGCCCTGAGGTAAGCGGGTGCGGGGCATATGGGGCAGCTCCACCTCACCTGCCTGGCCTCAACTCGTGGCAGCGGCATTGGTGCACTGTGCTCCTCCTGCCCTGCTGCAGCAGCAAGCAACCAGACAATGGGATGGAGTGGGCGGGCTCTTACTAGGACTTATTTTGAGGGTAGGGCTTATATTAGGCGCATGCTAAAATGCTAGGTCTTATTTTCTGGGTGGGTCTTATTTTCAGGGAAACGCTGTAATCATCTCCAGATATATTAAAAAGCAATAATTTGGCAACAATTCTGGACTTTGGAGACAGTTTGCAATCCAGGAATTTGACGTTGTTTACCTCGGTTTTGAAAATCCATTCTTACCACCTATTAATATAATGATTTAGGCCTCTTACCAGATACTGGAGCCGCTGACGCTCTGTCTCTGGTGTGAATTCTGAAGACATTGGGATGACCTCTCCATTTCTAATTATTATGGCTCTGAAAAATCAAAACACATAGTAAGAGTGTGGAGAACAGTCCCTAAAGAAAAATGGCTTTCTTTAAGAAACTGAAGTGTTGATCTGTTCTATGTATTGAATCAAAAAATAAAAGAAGCACATTTGCCTATGCCACAGGAAACCTATAGCACAAATTACATTGCTAAACAGCTCTCTGCAGGCTAGGATCTTGTATGTGGATTCAGGGGTCTTCAGTCTCTGGCTCCGCATGACTTATGTAAATGGATTATTTACTCAGAATTGAATAGTCACATGTCATTTCAGAAAATACCCATTTTGGCTTCCAGTCTGCGATCGTGGCGCCGGCGGATGCACGAGGAGACCGCTCTGTTTTCTCTCCGTTGGAAGATCCTGGAAAGGGTCGAAGGTTGCCCTGGAGGGGCGACCACCACCGAGGAGGACCCTCGATTGCTCACGGAAGGGCGGCAGCCCTTCCATTGGAGCTGAGGCAGCTCCTTTGGGCCGACAAAGAAAAGATCAGCCATTAACATGGCCGATCACCAAGCTGTTCCAGTTGAAAGCCAAAAGCANCGGCGCAGGGGGCGGAACCACGCATGTGCGGCGCTCCCGGGCAGGGAAAGTCCTCGACTTACAACCGGTTGGGTAGTCCTCGACTTACGACCGGTTTAGTCCTCAACTTACGACCGGTTTAGTCCTCGACTTATGACCGGTTTAGTCCTCGACTTACGACCGGTTGGGGTCGCGGCATTAAAAAGGTTGAGAACCACTGCTGTAAAAGCCTTTGGAAATACCTTTTTCCCTCTTCTCAATTCTGCGGCTCCTGCCTACTCTGGGAATATAAAGCTAAGGAAAACTAAACTAAATTAAACTAAACAACTAAATATCTGGACTTGTAATTTCTGGATACCTGGGCTCCCAAAAGGTTCTTTATTCTTATAGAGACTGATCATTTTACCTATTTGCTAAGCTGAAAAAAACCCAATATTTCTTTCCTCCTTTTTAAACCGGATAAAAGCTTAACATTACATGTTACTGGGGGCATCCTGTGGCGAAATTTGGTACAGCAAGTGAATTTTTTTTTTGACTGGGAGACTTGTGAGACTAAAATTTGTCCTTGACATTATCAAAAAAGATAAGAACTTGAAACAGCTGGGTGGTGAAAATAATTCTCTATAGTGGTGGTGGACACTTATTGATTTTTATTAAAAATAGCCTCCACTAAAGGACTATCTGTAAATACCACAGAAATGGAGGAATACCACCCACAGCTTGACTTCAAACGTATACTTGAAAAAATCTTAGAGGCTACTAAGACAGAAAGATATACTTGCCACCTTAAATCTACAAAATGCAGCCCAGACTTCAACAGATGAACTTACAACTCAAAAGGCAACAGAAGAAGAAGGAATTAATACTAAAGTGGACTTTAAAGAATACCAGCTACAATCTACTCAGAACTCTGATATCCAAACCTTGATTTCATCTAATAAATCTGCAATTTCAACAGCAACAGAAACTGAAGAAAGCAACACTAAGACGGAAGGTGCTGAAGACTTACATACACAGTATACTGAGTATTCAGATAACCCAGATGACCAAATAACAACTATAACACTGAATATGACTTTGTACCTAAACCAGCTGAAACCAGAAGAAGAAGAAGAAGACCAGTCTGAACTCACGACAAATATACTAAGCCAAATATGGAGACTCAAACTACCAGGCCAACAATTTAATGACTATGAAGGGACTAGCTTCCTTGACAAGTTGATAATTGGATGGTCTCCCTTGATTTAAATGACATATGCAGGAATGAAGGGAGATCCAACCGGGGATTCAAAGGCTCTGCTATGGAAGCCTGTTTGGCACAAAAGGAAGGCCAAAGTTAGATCTAAAAAAATGGTTTTCTTTATGCGACCTTTAATGAAAGAGCCTAAAATCTCACTTAATGGGCTTACGAGATTTTAAAAGACATTAATTGATTTAATATTCAGGATTTAGACTTATAAGGGAAATAAATTAGTTACTAGAATAATAGTTTTGAATTATAATATAGAAGATGGATTCAGATGACAAAGGTTATTTTATTAGTAAGTGACGATATTAGAATGAGAAGTAGAATATGACTGTGAAATAAACTAAGAATTTATTTGAATAAATAATAAGTGTATTTTAGATATGATAACTATTTTGTAAGGGAACCGTGGGCTATCCGAAATCTAATACTATGGACATTAAGCTAACTGGAATACTGTAATTGAAATCAGATAAAAATTAAAAATAGGATCTGGAGATATATAAGTCAAAAGTGATTGATAAATGTTTTAAATGATTGAGTTATAACTAACAATGTATTAATTTGAATGTGGTATAATAACTAAGGGAAACAGAGAGGAAATTTTTGATGACATAAATTGACATAAGTATGGAAAAGCTTGTTAATGGACTATGAATTACCCAATCACCATGTTGCTTCCTTAATACTTGAAGCTGTGTAAAAATGGAAAATTAATAAAACTTGTTTTTAAAAAAAGAAAAGAAAAGAAAATACCCATTTTAGCAGAAATGAATGCATGTTTAGCAGAAACAAAACCATGTTTAGACAAAAAAATCAAAGTAGGTATCTGTCAACAGAAAGAATGAGTACATACTGCTTAATATGTCATGCTATAGTTCAAACTGCCTTCAATTTTTTAAACTTCAGTAATTGAAATATCATCAGTGGAGTAATTTATTAACTAATTCTTTCTGAAATAATAAAGTTTGACCATGAATATGAATCTAAGTCCTTTGCTGAGCCAGAGAACACTTTAATTCATAAAGATATGACAGAGAATCTTTGCACCTTTAAATGCATCTGGAGCTTCTAATTAATTTGACAAAAGAGGACAAAGTCACAACCTTCTCAAACACTTGTTTCAATAGCAATTATTGGCACCATTAACAATAGCACCTTTGGCACCATTAACAATATTTCTATGAAGCACAGTAGCATACACACATTATTATTGTACAAATCTGTCTGGTAGTGACTGATTAAAGTTCACATTTTGAAAAAAAACCAAACAGAAGATTTGAGGCATTTGTTTAGCTGCTTCTTAGAATAACAATTACAGCCTTGGCATAAGTTCCTTACGAAAGTTGTTATGTCTCTGTTCTAAGAATGTGTTTAATGTTTTCACACATGAAAGGTATCTATGTCTTCCTTTGTTCCCTTACCAGCAGTAATGCAACTATTTCTTTGGGATCATCTACTAGAGAAGATTGATGCTCAAACTGTTTTTGATCAACATTCTTTATAACAGGCATGTCAAACTGCCGGATGCGTCATGCCGAAACCACGCCTACCCCTTGCTGGCAATGAGGAAAAAGTTGTGATACGTCACGTAACATCACATGACGTTGTGAGTTTGACATGCCTGCTTTATAAGATCTATGTAACCTTGTGGCTCTTGATCTTTGCTGGTGAAGGAAATAAAAGTTATTCTTTTAAAAAATGTAACAATAAAGCTGCAATGTAACAATGTATGAGACTGTATGTTTAGCACAAATGTATTAATGTAGTGTAAATGTAGCAATGCAATGCCAATGTATGAGAAGGTCTGTTTACTGTTTCCTGCCTAGGTAAAGTGACCACAAATGGTAATCAGCAAAGATAATGAATTATGACCTAATGTTTACTGTTTCCTGCCTATGTAAAGTGACCACAAATGGTAATCAGCAAAGATAATAAATTATGACCTGGATGGACGGAAATCAGAAGGAAATTGTCAGGATGAACTTTTAAGTGTAAAAACAACTTCAAAGAATGACTGAGAATGAAGTAGTGGAGTTGAAAGAGCTTCTTAGATGTGACGTGCATTGTAAAAAGTATAAAATGCAAAGCTTGAAACCTGCTCTTTGCGCTCTTAGAACTCAATCCAATTTGGGAAGGGTCTAAGAGTCCGCGTTTGCAAACACTTTTCTTTTCTTTTTTCTCTTTTTATGTTTTTCTTCAATAAAACTTTGTTTTGTTAACCAGACTTGTCTTCATATTGTGAGTATCAAATTTTGGGGTTTTTAAATCTCACACTGGGATGCAAGAGACTCACTATAACCTAATAGCTTTAGATTAATAAAAGAGTTGTTTGCACCTTCTCTCATCTATTCATTTTCTTTGTAGATTATTTTTGCCATAATACCAGTAACTTGCCAGGTAGGCAGGCATACAACTGCAAATCCTCTTCTGACCACATCTGTAATAAGTGTACTTCTCATATCATGCTATCCAAACTAAACTTACAGCATCAGGGATCTGTTCCTATAACACAGAGCTGCTATAATTGTTGATAATAGCTCAAAAGGATCTCCTATTTTAAAAAAATAAAAATAAAGACCACATAATCTTATGAGCAAACTTAACATAATAAAATCACTACCAATGAATAAATAATTCTGATATAAAGAATTGCTAAAGTGCATAAAAACATATAACTTACTGAGGAAGCAAATAAAATACAAAAGCAAAAAAGAAATTAAACTACTACCAAACAGAAAAGAAATTAAACTTAGTGCAGTTCTTAGTTAATCTTTTCTTGCCACTCAGCAGAATAGGTAACCCTTGTAACACACGTGTGTGTTCCAAGGGTTACCTATGTGTTTTGTTATGTGTAAAATCCTATTTCTTGCAAATTCCACTTTAATTCTAAGACTAAGAGGAGTCGTAAATCCTATTGGTTTATAAACTCTCATCCCACAATTTCAGTCCAATTTTAGAATAGGAAATTATTTCTAACTAGCAGAAAGGAAGATGTTTGGGTATCTGCTTATTTCATATGTGCCAAAACCCATGCAATTCTTTTTGGAATTGAAGTTTATTGTTATGCTCTTTATTGTTATGTTTTACTGTGACCAAGAAGAAACCATGAACATTGAACGAAGGTCTATGATCATTAAGCAACTTTACAGTACTGTCTTAAATGAACCTGCACAGGTCAATCACCATACTTGCACTGCCATGTGTGATTCAATCATCTGTTG